ATTATAGGTCTCACCAGTAGAATCATCTCACGCAGAAATGTATACGAAGCCACGGAGCGACGGATTATTTTTTCTCTCGTTTTCTTTCGATTTGCCACTTTCTCGCCGGTTTATCTGGATTTTATTCCCGAGTGGAATATTAATTAAGCCTCTGTCACTGATCAACGAATCGACGATCCTCCGAACGTTAATTTCCTATAATGTATTTGCTGTAATTAGTCGCCGCGCCGGGGTGGTGCTAATAAAGAGGAAATTATTGGATTCCATCGGTCGATTCAGATAAACGCTTTCGCGATCGCTTCATTAAACGCCGTACCGCATCGACTTCTGTTCAATTGTCATCTCTAACCGAAGTTTAGTTGCAAGAAGTAACTTTTTACGGCGAAGCTTGTTTCTTACGCTACGTTTCTTCGCTTTATTTCTTGTCATTCGCTCAAGGTTGGAGGAATGCAATATTGGCAAAGTGTAACATCAAAACTGGAAGATGAAATCATTAATCAGCGAACGAGTTTAGCGACGCGGATTTAATTAAAGTTACAACAGGATACGCGCCATGCATCGTGGCTTGTCGCGAGATTAAGTAAATAGAAACAATTTACGCAATTTTCCGCACGTTCTATTTCGTGGCTTGTTGAATAGCGACGATTAGATAGTACGGTTTAAATAGATTAGTCGTGAGGGTCGAGTGTGGGAACGTTGATTTAGAATCGTGGTTTCTAAATACGATTCAGATCTATTATTACACAGAGTTAATGATTTTGAATACGTTTATTCCCGATACGTTCGAGACCACAGGAATTTTGTAATTGAAGTGAAAATCTACGACGAGAGAAAAGTGGAAAGGAAAAATGTAGAAAGAAGTAGATACGTTACATAGATCGCTTACATAATCGATGCAACATTGTAGTAAATAAACAAAAATATTCCCAATCTATCTGCAGAAGCTATAAATCTCCGATTGCGAAAGTGGATAGATCTTTAAATAGAAGAATCGAAAACTTAATGTCAACGACGTGATAAAGCTCATAGAATCATGATCAAGGAACCTAGTTTTACCTGATCGATGTTGCTTCTAAAGAGATAAACAACTCTTATAATTATAGACTGAAAGGTAAATTTAAGAGAAGGCCGGGAATACACGAAACTATTCTGAAGCTCGGCAGGAAAATAATATATATAAAAATAAATTTACGTGTATCAAACAGTGGCCCATCAGAAAGCAGACTTCCAATTACAATTCCACGAAAACCGATCAATTTCCTCAAGCTATCCTTATTACTAAAATAACTCAATAACTCCCGAGCGTGGACTATAATCAGTTCACAATAATTACTCGTCGTGAACAGTCCCTCGGAATTAATTGCTCGTAGGAGATCGAATACAAAATTTCACGTAATTTCCCAACAAGAAATCGACTAAAGCAAGGACGATAAAACGGCGGCGCAACAATAAAACCACCGACGATTATCGACGGCTGAACTTCGATTACTCCCTCGTCTAATTAAATGTCGATGGGATCCGGCATTCCCGATAATTTACCAGTTTCTTGTCAGTTACTTTCTAGTCTATTATATCATTTTATCAATTACACACAAATTAAATGTCTAAAAAGATACCTTACATTCGACATCTACGGAAGGAAGTACCGTAAAAATGTAATTTATACTACATTGACTGAAATTACGACACTGTTTGCCAATCTTTTACGAGTACCACGTATTTTCTGATTTTTTTAATACTCCCTCCGATACTCTCCCTTTAATGTTCCAATTTTTTTCTTTTTTTTTTTTTTTAATACGCTTTCCGACCGTTTTCAGGCGCATCGATGGCTATTTACAAGATGCTGGTTCCTAGAGATCATTCGAAATTGATTGCGATGGCCAATAAATTCAGTGAAAACGAGGCTCGGTGAGACGTTCAAAGATACGAGGGAAGAAAGAGGAGAGGAAATAAGACAACTTCGCGGAGCAGATCTCTCACGGCTGTCAGGCGTGACACGTTTATCTTAAACAGCGTTACGTTCAACACTCGCGGAACTCATTAGTTAGGTTGCGCACATGCAGTTCGCGTTACGTGCGCTTGCCTACGCTGGTTGGCCCATTAGCGAAATTAGAAAGAGAAGTATTTTAACCGCGCCGCGTGCTATGAAAACGCTCGAAAGACTTACAAGTATCACTTAAGCGGCCCTCTATCGTCCTCTTTTTCTAATTTTTGCGCTGAATTATTTTGGGACGATTGTTTTCCTGACTGCAGTAAGTTTTGTCAGTACATCGTGGCGAAATGTATTTTATTTCGTCCGTTATTGCATTTTTATTATATAACTTTATTGTAATAATGTATTGTAATAATATAATTATTATATAATTAAGCTAATAATTGGAGAAAATTTGTTTCACGTCTGTTTACTATTTCGTCATTTTATGAGGCGGACTTCTTCAAAACATGAATCTGAAATAACCAAAGTCGTTACTTTTTCAGAAGATAATTGCAAGCTATCTAATTTAATGTTGCGATTTTGCGGGGAGTACAGAAAGTATATAGATGGCAAGTAATATAACAGGACAAGAGCGATACCGTTTCATTGATTAATAGATTGTTGATGTGTATAGCATGACACTATACGTGTATTTAGGCAGTGAAATACGACGATAAGGAAATTCAGACACAAATTGATAATATTAAGTCTATGACGCAAAAACCACGGAAATTTACGAGCAAAAAAGATTCTTCATCGCGGCAAAGAAAAGAATTACCAAGCATTTGCGCGTGCAGGACTCAGAATATCGCTTGGACGCTAACAACAAAATTACCTCTAAAAAAAGGAAACAGTTTGCTTCTGAATCTATATGGCGCTCGTAAATCTATGATGATTCAAGCACCGTTTTCTAAAACGACGACTCATCTGCCACCGATAAATAAGACAGAAATCGTACAAGCGAAGACACGGTTTCAAGATCGCCGTGGTTTTGCGCGAGTTTTCACGAAATGGACAGAAAAAGTTGCGCCCAAAGTCGGACAGGGATGGAGTTAAGTGGCGCTCCCTTCGAGGCATAAACAAGCGTTAGGGACATGAATGGGATCACGTAAAAAACAGATTTCCACCCTCGATCTCGTACACGAAACGTGATTTCAGGCCGTCAGCTCGGAGGAAGGGTGGAAAAAGGGCGTTGCGGATTGGGGCTAACCCTGTAAGCGATCCCAGGGGCTCGTCAGAAACGATCTTATGATTGACCGTGTTACGACACTCCCTATAGACCATTTTCCGAACGTATCTCGAAAATACGTTCTAGTCAAAGGCTCAGTTGATCTAGAAGAAACGGTACCAAACGGCACATGCATCGCCGATATTAGATTTGAACGCGAGGCTTCTGGTATTTGAGGTGAACAGTAGCTGTATCGTAATCGAGCGTATTTGGTTGTTAAACGTACTTTGAGATGGCGAAAATTGCAACGTGTAAGCTTGCCGGTGTGGTTTTAGGAGTAAACTGGTTTTAGATATTGAGTTGATGTTAAATATTAGTAGGAGATATTCCGGTGTATTTACGTATTATAAATAACCCAGCTTATGATAATTACTTAACTGTGCTCTGAGTCGCGGCCAGAAGCGTAACAGTAACGTTTATGTCACCGTGCAAAATGTTCAACTGAGTTATACTTCATGAGGAGAATAATATAAACAACCGTAGAACAGCGTGCTGTAATGGATGAAATTACTTTGCGTTTATTACGTAGAAATACGCGAGTCTGTATTAAAATTTCGAACTACCTTTTTGCTTTTCTTGTTGGTGAGTTATACACTTAAATATCTGAGAAAGGAAAGAAAGGAAAAACAAGGCTCGTTGATATTACTATTGTATTACTAGGACGAAAGTTTCAATCGAAGAATCTAGAGAATATATGAAATGTAAGGTGTTCATAAAAAGGATTCGTTCGCAATTATACTGTTAACTGAATTTTTCGATGTGAACCTGATCGTGATTTTATCAGACACGTAAAGAGGCTAGTTTCTAATCTTATTAATATAGAGCAAGATTAGAAGCACGAGAATAACATGGGGTTTAATTCGCACTGTAAATCAAGCAACAAAGTAGCAAGTAACCTGCTAGTTTACTATCTTACTTGCCTCAAAATTGCAGCTTACCGTGCTATAAGTATGCAAACTATCGTAGCAAGGAAACGTGGCAATGAATTCGAAATTGTGTTTCAATTTAGTGCAAAAGTGGATCAGATATCTCTCGTAAAGTCATTCTGCATTTTCCTCTATAAACATAGCAGCTTAAAATAGAACATATCAAAACATCATATACAGTAACGAATCTAAGAATAACACAAGCAAGAAAGACTCGTAATAAAACTAGGAATATTAATACAAAGTTGTCAAACAATCATTCCATCAATAGAACTAAAGTGTTCGAGAAGATCACTATAGGAACACGGTCGATTTTAATCGTAAGAATGATTATACTGCAAAAGGATATTAACTTTTCTGAACTCCATTAAAACTGAAGCTACGAACTTGTACTGCGTATTTGAATATACTATGCGATTATGATTATACTGACACGAAAATAAACAAGACAGACTTTCACTCGGAACTTGTATAAGACATTTTTTACTTTTAATGAACCTCGGTATCTTATTTCCTAGTAAAATTGTTAATACACTGATCGCTTTCATTATCGTATGATATTCTCAGCTTATCTCAAAGATAAAAGATCCGAACCCCTTCATTCTAACATATTCGATAATTCCAACGTTAATGTCGCGAGGAAGACAGCAATTTTGCCGAAAACACCTGCGTACTGTCGGCAATATAAAAAATAAAAACCGTAAAGCTGATTCATCCTGACATGTTTGACAGTCCTAAGGTTAATTCAGGAAGAAGATGTTAACAACCGAAACCCAAACAAGCGTGGCCATCCTCGCGGCGATAGTTCGCAGCTGCGCTCATTATTTCAAGGTGCTTAGCTTGAAGTGTAACGCGAAAAAAAGCCACTTACCTTTCTTCTCGTCATCCTCGTCCGCGTGATCGGCACCGTGATGAAGATGATGGGCGGTTGGATGGTGGCTAGTTATCGCCGGCACCAGGGGGTGGTTCCCTAGTGCCGGATGCGGATGATGAGGATGATGATGACTGAGGAACCTGACAGCGGCCGCGGCTGCTTGATGCTGAGCTTGCATCGTCTGCTGTACCTGGCTTTGAACCTGTCCGAGGACCGGATGATGTGGTGGCCATCCTGTCAGATGAAACGGAAACACGGGTGTCGCCCTCTGAAACAGTCTGGCCGGAGTCAGGAGGGAACCACCGGAACCAGTAGAGCCGCTACCAGGAGGCAGTGGAAAGGACAGACCACCTCCTGGTTCCAGGACCATGTTTGGGACCAACTTGACGACTGGCTGTCTCTCCACCGGAGAGATTTCACTTATTTTGCATCTATATCCCTCTACTCTATCCTCGATACGCTATACTTTCGACGATCGTAGTTTCCTCAACTTCATGGGAACTGACATTCGACGAGAACAGTTGTTGCAGGTCTGGACACCTCAATTTCAGAGTATGACGCACGTGAGATAAGTTTTCGATGATGTACCAAGAAATCGTTTGTTTACATCTTACATGGAAGATTTAAGTTTAAGATTGATGGAATTTAGAGGTTCTTTTTAGATATATGCAGCGAGATTGATCATGTTTGTTGATGATCGGTAGTCGTGGAGGTGGAAGGATGGCGAATGTGTTTGCGAGTGAACGTGCTCGTGGTAAGTCGACAGCCGTCGGAAGGCGTGATTCGAGGTTTCCGTCAATGGCAATCGACCTTTTTGCCTTTTAAAAGAATCCTTGCATCGAGGATTCCATGTAAATTCTTCCTGCCAGTATTTTCAGCTTCTATGCTTCAGTCTTTTATCTAATATTCAAAGTCCTCGACGCTTTTCTCCCAAATCCCAAAAAATATAATCCCACCAAGTTAGTCAAGCAGAATTTCCTGAAACACGTATTTCGAGAGTCCATTTAGTCCTTTCGCGAGTACAGTCTCGGTAACTAACACTCCAGTTTCACGCCACGATTTCTCATTGTCGGTCTTTTCGAAATCAAACTTTCCATCCGGGATCTAATCTTCACCCTGGATGTTCATGTTTCCGTCAATTTTGCGAATGAACCCGCCAAACCGCAAAAGTCACTAGGGAAACTGGGCCATCGTTGAAAACACAAGTCCACGGTGCACTGGTCGACGATCACACTTGTTAAAAACTGTTTAGAGGTGACGGTGTCGTCGTACCTGGACATCAGGTTACGCAATCAGCAGCAACGAAAACACCGATCAGCTGACGAGATTAGAGAAGAGCACGGGTCGTATTTGTGTATTTGGCAGTCCGTGGGGTGAATTCGAGCGCGCAACGGAACGGATTCCAGGGATTCCTTGCTGGCAAGGACCTGTTAGTGTTAGGACCACTACGGCACGAGCCAACGGCACAGCACTATCTGCCTGGAGAGTGAAGTCAACGGCTCCCCTCTGTCCACGGAGTCAAAACTGGTTTGGGTCGCCACCCAGAGGCTTTGGATTGGTCGGACAGATGGTGGGTTCACGGGTGCCACTCTATTCCTGGCCAATGAGGACGGATGGATTACGGAGCGAACTCCGCCTCGTAGACGGTTTTTTTGCCCTGGAATTGAATCGACGCCCCTTCCTTGCAGTAATGGTGGTGCCGTAGTGGGGATGAATCAATTGGTGGCTGCCCTGAAAGCAGCCGCAAGATGGCTCCTCCCTTCCCCACAGCATTCGGCAAACCACCCCTGTCGTGGAGCCTAGGCAGCAGCGTCGACCTTAGCCTCTAATGCCGTCAACGAGATGCGCACTTCTACAAAGTTCAAATTTTTTTCACCACAGAAAATTATCCTCCTTCCTTTATTTCTCTTCCTTTATTCTTTCACCTTCTCTCCTTTTTTTTTTTTTTTTTTTTTTTT